GTCTATGGTACAACAGACCTACTGTCAGCCAACTAGCTCCAGTCTCCACCGCGTCTATCTTCTTTCTATCGCTAATACCAAGTCTATGACTTGCCATGCTCTAGTCTCTTGTGTGGCAGCTCACAAATCTTGTGGTACTGCTCGCTTTGGTTAGGTTCAATGTTGAACCACAACGTTTGTGGGCAAGTCATAGACTTGGTATTAGAGATAGAAACAGGATAGAAGCAGTGGAAACTAGAGCTAGTTGGCTAACAATAGTCGTGATTCAAGGCTCGTGTCTATAAACAAACGCGTTTATTGTTAGCCAAATAGCTTTTGTCTCCACCGCGTCTTTACTATTTCTATCTGTATTATTATGTCTATCATTTCCTACGTCATAGTTTCTTTGTACCAAACCACAAATGTTGTGGTTCTACTTGTTTTGATTAGGCTCACTGAAGACGTCTCCTCTTGGCTTCTGATTCTTTCTTTCTCATCCCCCTCCGATCTCTTTTTCTAAAATTAAGGATATCACCTTGATCCAGTCGTCTTCTTTTTGCTGATCTTACTGTTACCTGGTCTTCTCCAAGTTTGTTTAGGCAATATGCAAATATTTTGCTGATCCGGCCTTCTTCGAGTCTCCTGTTCATTAGATTTCTCTCGGTCAGTATTTCAAATGGCCTATCGGATCTTGCGTTTTCTCGTATTTTCACCACATGCAACCAACCTTTGGGCGATTTCCAGTCGATTTCGTGCCCCGTTCGCGCAATGTGTTCCTCTATTTCGGATCTTTTCGTATCCAAGTTCCTGCAGAGTCTTTGATGTTCCTTGATTCGTAGGCTGATTTTTCTTCCTGTTTCACCAACATACTTCTGCTCACAGTTGCCGCATTTGATGCGATAAATTCCCGAGCAATCCAATTTGTTAGTCTTCTCGTGTTGCATCGGCAGACTGGTGAAAAGTTTTTTTTTAATCCTTTGTTATCACCTTGATATTCTATTTCCTTAGTAACGCTCGCAATTGTTGCTTCAGTTCTGATGAGGGCAGGCAAATCCACTTCTGGTCGTCCTGATTCCTGCTCTTATTTTCATAAAATCCGAGTTGAAATCTTTTCTTTATGGCCTCTACATTTTTTTATATCAATTCTCTGGGGTACCTGTTACTAAGGCAACGTGTCAGTTTGTCTAACTCCTCGCGCGAGAACTAAATGTCCGTTATTCGGAGGCTTCTGATGATCAAGCTGCTCAGTATTCCGATCTTCAGTCTGTAGTTATGGTGAGACTGGAAATTAAGGATTGCTCCCGCATATGAATGCTTTACGTATAGTCTCCTCCTGAGTGTCCCTTTGGAGCACATTATTTTAATATCCAGAAAGGGTAGTCGTTCCTCTTCCTCCATCTCCATCGTGAATTTAATTATTTCATCAAGTTGGTTAATGCAATTGAGGAATTCATTTAGATTTTCTTTACCATGTGACCAAAGTGCAAGTCCGAGTATCGCATAAGCACTCTTGGTTGCAGTGGAGACTTGTTCAATTCCCTTTTCAACTTGTCCATGTACACATTTGCAAAAGAGGTGAGAGTGGAGATCCCATCGGTAGTCCAAATATTTGCTCGTAAAAACTGCCGTTAGATGTAACATATGTGGTCCTTACTGTCAGGTTGATCAATCGTCTTAACGATTCTTTCCGTATCCGTTCTGCCTCCAGGATGTCCTCTTCTCGCTACAATATCTTCAGCAAAGCGCTTACTGCCTTCTCACCTGAGATGTTTGAGTACATGGATTGTACATTGAAACTCACCAACAGTTCTGACCCAACCAATCCAATGTTCTAGATTCTTTGAGAAAATTCCTATGAATTTTTGACGGTATTCGAGAGTCTGTCATTTTAGCACACGTCTGGTCAAAGTATCGACTTCACTTGTCTCTTCGACGAGCTGTACTATGGTGCTACGAATGTCGAGACTCACTGACGATGTCGGCGAAACGTCTGGGAATGTACCAGGTCCGCGATCCTTCTTTGGAAATGATCATGCATACAATGGACTTTGGACTATATGCGTTCCTCTAAGTCCTATTTTCAATATGACCAAGTTGCGAAAAGAAGGTCAAACAACCTCTATAGAACAAAAGGAGACTGCCACCACAGAAAAGGCCACAGCATCTTGGTATTCATATCTTCGAATCGACGACATTATTTATTTTTCGTTTTTTGCTTACGTTTTCGAGACTACTTGTAACTCATATATATGCGATGTGCTCATCCTGTTTCGTCCAAGATATTGAAGGACTGGTAGTTTAATTATTTCTAGTCTCGAGATTCTACTCAAAAATGTCTAAACTTCTGTTTTTCTCCATTCTTTACTTTGTATTATTTTGGCTAATTTGCTTAAAATAAGTGAGGATTAAAGGAGGAAATGTTGAATATGTAGTAAAATTTACCCTCCCTTACTGTATTTACTTCGCTCCCTATGTTTTCGAGCATACTACCACCAAGTTTCCACCAGTCTTTTACCAAATTTGTGCCACAACGTATTAATTGGAATCTCCTCGATAAATAATTGAATCACAGTGACTATCTTTTGTTCAAGTACCTTTGTCTGACTTAGAACTAGTAGCCAATATATGTACTGATAAGTGTGCCTTTAGAAGTTTTTTTATAAAGTCGAGTTATTCACAAAGTCGGCTTATTCGCTTAAAACCTAAATAGATGCTCATCACACTTTCTACTCTCTCTTCAGGAATGATTATTGCAGCCATCACTGTGCTCATCCTCTTCGTGAAGTTCAGCATCAACACCTTTCACCTGGAGAACACGCCCTGGCACACCGGCAAGCACCTACGCTCCTTCGTCAATTTTATCATAATCGGCGTCACTGTGCTCGTCGTGGCTGTGCCAGAGGGGCTACCATTGGCGGTCACTATTTCATTGGCCTACTCCGTGAAAAAGATGATGCGTGTAAGTCTTTCTTCATTTCTTGCATATGACTACACGGATTGGGTTGCCACAGGATTGCTTAGACCTTCCTTTTTTTGTTCAATTTCACTACTCAGGGACAGAATTTAGGGGCTTTTTCTGGAGTTTTTTCTTCAAAACTCTGTCCTTTAGTGTATACTTACGTCAAATTTTAACTGTTTAGACTAAGCTTATTGCCTTGCAATATGGCCATTAAATGCGCCTAAAATATCTTTGAAAAATAACAAAAATTGCTTGACTTACCCGCCAACGCTTGACCTTATTTCATTATGGTCTTATCCAGCCGTCGAGCACTTCATTTTGTTGTATTTTCAGGCTTAATTTTCTTTTTTTACCTTCTTCTGTTGCTTGTATTTCTATTGCTTATTTCCATCTCTCTCCTTCGCACACATTTTTTATTGATATTCGTCGATTTGTTTATGCCTGCTATTACTGGCTGGACTAGAGTCTGTCCTGGCACTCTTACAAATCTCCTCAACTGGATACAAAGTATACTGAACTTGTGTGGCATAGTAAAGTCTTCTCTCCCTTCCATGAGCTATTATTATCTCGCCAAATCACTTGGTGATCTAAATACGCTTCATTATTGCATGTAAGGCTTACTGGTTGTTCCACTATGGCCAGGGCCAGGTTTAAATTTATCCGTTATAGTCATGACTATCAACTCTTAAAGGATAATGAATCGTCAGGAGAACAACTGTGACTACTAATGGATCAGATGGATTTGGATTCCTACATAAATCTTTATGTTATATTGCCTAATAGATTCTTAAAATGTTTCTCATCATTTGTCCGAAATATTTTTTACCTTAATGGACTCGTTTGTACGTATTGGACTCACCTCCTTGTGCAGATATCAGTCTGAAAGCATAGATATGTTTATGCTAGACATGCGTTCATTCAATGAGCAGGTCGCTTATATGATTTAACTTCATTGCACCATTAAAAATTTCTCGTTGAGGGATTAGTAATTAGAATGAGATTATCCTACATACAGGTGTACATATGCAGATTTACATTAATATATATGAGCTTGTGTGCAGCGTGTGTGCGCCCACGCTTGAGGGCTTGCGCGCCTGCGCTTAGCCAGCCAACCCAAGCTTTATTTACCACCGAAATGTGCCACTATGGGCTGAGGAGATGGTAAGAGGAGGATAGACAGTTTTTCCATTAATCAATTTAATCTTTACTTAACTATTTCTAATAAAGGCCCAATCTAACCGGCCAGTCGAAAGACTTTTGTAAGAAATTAGCTTAAATGTGAAAAAGCAAACGGAGGTAAAACAGGTGAAAAGGTGTAGATGCAAAGACTTATTAATGTGCATATCCTTACTCCCCATCGCATTAAATTGGTGATTATTTGACTTACCGAATTTAGAAAGCTCTCTGCATTTAGACTTTCTTATTTTTGGGATTTACATCCAGCAACACTCATATAAAGCTTCTCTATTAATAATCCTTACTCCTAAACTTCCTATCGCTAAGACAGGCTATTTTAATCTGGACCATCGAAAATGTGTCGGCAACTTTGATTTGAATTTACAATTTCTCATACACTTACTATTCCCACCTTTTTTTGGTACTTTTTCGTTATCTCCCACCTGATTTACCTTATGCATTTTCCCCTTCACTTCTATTCGATGTACACTCACAGGATAATAATCTCGTACGCCATCTGGATGCCTGCGAAACGATGGGCAACGCAACTGCTATTTGTTCGGATAAGACAGGCACACTGACTACTAATCGGATGACAGTAGTGCAGAGCTTTCTTGGCGGCCAGTATGTCAACGACGCAACTCAACTGCCAATGCTACGAGATCTGAATCATGTAGTGGGACACCGCTTAATTCACTGCATCTCTATCAATAGCAGCTACACCTCGCGTGTTGTGGTAAGTCTTGTTCCTCAAAGAAGAGACATGTATACGATCAGATACAGATGACTAATCTACGCAACTAAAGCTTGCTAACCTCTGCTCCTAATGGCCCGCTAGTTTAGGTTTAACTATACTCGTCCACAAAACGCCTAATTTTACCTCCTACACAACGACTATTTTGTAAAATTAGAAAGGTGGAGGTTGGAGTTACATATGGCTTATTTTTTCGCCGGCCTTTCTGAATCCTACCAAGCCTTAGTAGCCTTAGTAGTAGACTTATACACCATAAAATTTTAAGTTAAAATTTTCCTTATTGGTCTTCTTTGATAACGATACCGATTTACTTTCATGCTTTTTAACCTTTAGTTTTGTCTTCTTTCATTTTCCTCAATGCTTTCTCTCAGATTCCCATTTTCCACCTGGTGCAATCCGTACTAATTATTCAAACATAGTTTGATAAGCACCTGCTTAATGAGGGGTTATGAATTTGTCACATACAAGAAAGCCTCAGTAACTGGCTTTAGCTTCTTGACCACAATATGCTCTATTTTGATAATGTAGTAACGGACCAATAATACCCAAAATTTACTTTATTTATTACTATTTTCTCTATTAGTATTTTTACCCTCACTTCCAAGTTGGAGTAGAAACCATAATTTATTTCAAAATATAGTTCGCCTTATTAATCTAATGGTTTTTAGCACAAAATAAACTCTATACTAGACTACAAAAAAAGCCATTTCCTCCATTTAAAATGTCAATTTTTACAATTATTTTAATCTAAAGCTATATCATCCGTTATTTAAGTTTTTTTACTTGCAATCTCTGGTTTTTTATATTATCTTTTGATTGTTTGAGAAAATTGATCTCAGATTATCTTTATATTTTGATACCATCAACAATAGTTCACGATACTTTTATGGAGCTTCGACCAGCTTCTGTGCGATAATAGATTTAACTTTGGCATTTATGCAAGATAACAGCTTTAGTGTCTTTGAGATGTAGGACATATCATCAATGTTCCAGGTTTTCCTGTAACTGTTGCCTACCAGGCATACATTGCAATAGAAAATATATCAAACTCCATTGTCATTCTGTCGCATTAAAGCTATGAATTAGGACTTCAGTGTTTTCAATAGCTCTTTTGCTATTTATCCTATTTATGATAAAACTTAGTTCAACCATTCTGTTTCATATGTTGACGAGCCATACGATAAGGGCTTATAGCCTTATAGCCTTGCATTATATATATTTTTTTACCGATTTCGGCAATCTTATTCACCTTGCACTTTTCTTTGTGCCTTCAGTTTTTTGTGTTTGATGTCTTCTAACTATGTTGGATTTTCATCCTAAGGACAATGTAATTTTACTTGTTCAAAGGAGCAGTCGCTGTGAGCGCCGTCATTTGGGTTTCCTTCGTATTTGACCAGTCTGTTGTGTTACCACTTTCAAGAGACAAGTTTAACATATTTATATTAAATGACCTCGCCGAGCTTACTCGTTGCATTCATCCATCTATCCATCTTTATCTAATATATATATATATATATATTCAAATCTTTCTTACTTTTGTTTAACTTTGCTTGACTTCACTTATTCTTTGTATTTTATTGCTTTTGTAATCACATGGGCTTGTTATAAAGCATGGAGGCCTGAAAATCTTTACCTTTTTTTTAATTTTGCAATCCTATTCTTCTACGTGTTGGACTTTTTACTTTTATCCCTTTGCCAATCTTTTTATTTATTTCTCTCCCTCTTCATATATCTTATTTTGCGAATCTTTATTTGTAATTTCCCCTCAAGGTATCAGAACGCGGTAATGAACTCCCTCAACAGCTGGGAAATAAAACAGAATGTGCCCTCCTCGGCTTCGTTCAGCATCTCGGCGCCAGTTACGAGGACATCCGAGCCCAGTGGCCCGAGGAGTCGTTGGTTAAGGTTTTCACTTTTAACTCAGTGCGCAAGTCGATGAGCACCGTGATTCGTAACCTGGAGCCTGGCCGTCAGGGCTACTCTGTCTTCACGAAGGGCGCCTCCGAGATGGTGCTAAAAAAGTATCTCGCCTCATTTTCCCCCACTGAGTAGCAGTTTACCTCAGTTATTTGTCCCTAACGTTGTTTTATGCTTATCGAGTATTGTTTGCTTGTTCTCCTCCCATCACCTCCTGACTTGGTCCTCCTCCCCATTCTAGTTTACTGCTATTCTATGTCTGGGACCATACCAGGCTTCTGTATGTTATTTATCCTCCGTTTGGTGTTACATCTGTCTATCCTGTCCTGACTTAAAGGTGCTGTCTGTCTGTTTGACTTTTACGCCTGCTTCTCAATCCTTTGCTGCCACATCGTGACTGATGACTGTCTGCCTTGGCTACACTCTTCTCTATGTCATAGCAGCCTTCCTTACGTCAAGTATATGATTTAAGCTGCATTTGATTAGGCCACCACACGCTCGGAGATAGTTGGTTAATCAATGGATAATCAAAACATAGACTCTTCACGTATCGTGGATGTAAATACACACAAAAATAGTATTGCCGTAGCACCCATTTTATAGCCTTCATAGTCGGGTACCTCTGTTCACATTCATTCGTAAAACCTATCTACTTACGGTGCCTTTAATTGTACACGATGAACATTGTCAAGCTTTAGTACTTATCTGAATGTTCAAATTCTTTCAGAATAAGTAATCATTATTGTGATTCATGGACACACGTGGTTCCCGGTTAACTGG